AAAAAAAAAAAAAAAAAAAAAAGGGTGAAAAAATTTGACGTTTTTGAAAAAACTAAATATATCGTTGCAAAGAGTGTTAAATACTGTACAACTTTTGTAGGAAACATTTTTTCATATATCTTGTTGTTCGCGACGTGAGCGAAAAACTCGCGGAGAGTCGTCGCGATGAGAGATCGGCACTGTCACGTGCCTTCCACGTGCCTAGGTGTTCCGCGGCGCGTGCCAGGTAAGAAGTGTAAAATAAAGTGAATAATTCAATTCAAAAAAATCAGTGCATAACCGATTTCGCTTTCCTTTCCTCACGCCGCTGGACCTCGTGCGAGGTCGATTCAGTAAACGTCATTCTCTCCGCTAATTTGAGAGAATTCGGTACAAAGAAATTTTGGTCCTTCGAGCCGGATCGGTGAGCGTGAATTAAAAGGAAAGGGAATTCGATCGCACCTTGCAAAATAACTGAGCTGCTGTAACGACAGCAACAATTATGCCGATCGATCGCTCGATACCTCGATAATTTCAAGAAGATCGGACGAGCCAATCTGACAGCAGCGAAGGTGCGATCTCGAATTTCGGCTCTTAAAGATCTCTGGATCCTATTCCAAGACGGACATGCCTCTGTGGTGAACTCGACGCCGCTCCCCGCGCAGAAGACGATGGACTACTTCACCGAGCATCGCTAAGACGAGACGGAGGACACTTATCGCGCAGCATTGGACCACATGTCGGAGGAGCTAGAAGAGTTGGATCCACCTGTAAGTCTCACGATTCTTCGCACCTTCTGCATAATTGTTCGCAAGTTTCAGCGGTTTCGCTCGCGCAACTTCCGCCGATTCGTCTTCCGCCTTTCGATGGTAATTTAAATGAGTGGGAGTCTTTCCGCGATCGATTTTCTTCATTGATTATTCAGAATCAAAAGTTAAATAATTTTTCTCGTATGCACTTTCTCACTTCGAGCCTTCGGGGTCAAGCTCTGGACTGCGTTAGTAATTTAGCTATAACTGCTTCGAATTTCGAAGTTGCGTGGCACACGTTAGTCGCACGCTATGAGGACAAGAGCCGCTTGTTACGAGTCCATCTCTCGGCTTTGCTCAATCTTCCGTCGGTCTCTCGCGAATCCGCTGCCGAGATTCAAGTGCTACGCGATTGAGCTCACATTGCCGTCGCATCGTTAACTCGGTTGTCGCGCTCGCCGGCGGAACTTTGGAACGACATTTTAGTCTACCTCGTAGTCCAGAAGCTCGACGCGGCATCGCAAAAGGCGTGAAGGCTGAAAACGGCGGACCAGGACAATCTTCCGTCCTTTTCCGAATTGGAAAAATTTCTCGCCAGCCGATCGCGCGTTCTCGACGATGTATCTTGTGTCTCCGTCGCGCGGGCTGGAGATCGACGTGCGTCGTCCACCAGAATTTCTGTCGCGACCGCGTCAACGTCGTCGGGATCAATCTGTCCGCTCTGTAAAGCGCACCATTATTTTAGTTCGTGTCCGATATTTGAGAAGGCGAGTCCGGTTCAGCGTCGTGATCTTGTGAAAAAGCACGGTCGTTGCTTTAATTGTTTAAGCCAACATCACTCAGTTCGATCTTGCTCAAGTAAATATTCGTGTCGCTCCTGTCATGAGCGACATCATTCTCTGTTGCACACGAGCCCGCGAGCTGAACCCTCGTTATCGAATGACCCGCTCAGTCAACAATCGAAATCGCGCGCGGAGAACAAACTTGAAGTTAACTCGATGTTGGTCTCTCCGATGAGAGCGAAACCATCGCGGATTATTCTAGCTCGCGTAAGAGTTGGCGTGGTCAAAGGTTGCTCGGTGGAAATACGAGCCTTGTTAGATCAGGGCTCCGAAATGTCCTTTATTTCTAAATATCTAGCTCAATTGTTACGGGTTAAACGCATACGAATGCCGACTTCGGTTTCTGCCGTCGGTTGCGTGGATGCCGGGACCTTCAAGTATGCCGCTCGAATCTGTGTCTCTCATCGCGATGCGAGCTCTCCAACCGTAAACATTACTGCGTTAATTTTAAGTTCTTTAACTGCGTACGTTCCGCAAAGCGATGCGGATATCGCCTCGTTCTCTCATCTGGCAGACCTTGCATTTGCGGATCCGGATCCAACGAGCAAGGAGCCTATTCACCTCATTCTCGGCGCGGATCTGTATGGGGAAGTCATTCTCGGGGGTTTGCGCAAGGGTTCACTCGGCGAACTTATCGCGCAAAATTCAATTTTCGGATGGGTCATATTGGGATCACTTTTCCCATCCTCTCACGCGTCACACACTTCACCTCCTTCTCCTGGAAATGCTCGAATGTCGCATCACGTCTCCGTTCATCATTGTTTCAACACTCCCTCATTGGAGGACGAAATCAGACGCTTTTGGGAAATCAAGGACTTTCCCACTCGTTTAATTGCCACGCCTGACAACGAGAAG